CATGTTTACGTGATTCTAAAATGGTATATCGTCCAACCTTTATCAAAGAATTATTGAATTGTTTTTAGTAAATTATTTTGATAATTACTAACATGTTACAAATTACTTACACCTAAATTTTCTTGTAATTCTTTATAAGTAAAGTCATTTGCAATAATTGATAATACACGACGTTTTCCATCTTGATTTTTTTTGTTATTCTCTAATGCATGATTAAAGCATTGCCAAAAAGTTGAAGTTGAATTTTTAATAGGTGTTGAAATATCCTTGACAAGAAATTTCATTTGATATAATTGGGTAAGTAATGTACGATCTTGTTCTGGATGGTTAGATTTTGACCAAAATTGATACTAAAAATAAAATTTATTATTACAATAATTAATTTACGATTTTTTTATTAGAAATCTTTTAATAATACCTGTTCTTCACATGGCTAAGGAGTTACATTATTGGCACCAGCAGCATAAAGAAAGGTCTGCCATGCACTTTTTTTACGTATACTAAATTGATGATTTTCAGGATATATATTATGTAATTCATTGTTTAGTTCAATTAGAAGACTTTCTTGTTTATCCCATTTTATAAATAACTGATGCCAATTAATATTCACAATTGTTCTTCGTTTTAGATGAAAATCAAAAAGTAATTTCATAATAGAATCATCTTTCCACTCTTGAGGTGAACATGTTGGTTTTTTTTGTTTTTTATTTAGAGATTTTATTATGTGATTGTTAATACCAAAAAGTTGATTCCCATTGAATTTTTTTATAAATTCTAAATTTTTTCACATGTCAATTGGATTATTACTCACATATGTAGTTTGAAGTTTTTGATCTTGATAAATTTCAACAGTACATAAAGTTTCTTTGATTTTAGAAACAAACAATACCTATTTATCTCCAAATTTATGAAGAAGTGAAGATTTATATTCCAGTCCAGCACAATGCCAATCTATATTCGTTGAATATCCCATCCCATATACAAATACTTTTATTTTTTCAAGTAAAAAGGAATGAGAAGTAAAAGGAACATCTTTATTCAATTTATTTACTATATTTTCGTCATTCTATTCCATTATTAATGAACCAGAATAGCGTGTTTTCATTGTAAAGATTTTTGAATAAACTTCAGAAATAGCATTAATCGGATCATTTGCAATTCCTACAATTTCATTACATTGACACATATAACCCAATAAAAATATATTATTGTCTTTATTGCTAACAACTACTGTAATAATAAATTCACAATTGTTGAGCGTTGCTTTAATTGTTTGCTTCACTCGAATAGGAAAATAAGTTGTAATTTCCTCAGAATTAGGTAAAGGTTGCCACCAATAGTGAGAATATGGACCATAATGGTATTTTTCAACAAGTACACCTGGTGATATAAGACTAATATTTATTTTGCATTGTTTTATCATTATATTATGGGTGGAAATATAGTATGCACACGAGATGTAAAAAACAGCTTTTTTTATTATCGTTTATTATCCCCAAATTTTATTATAAAATGATTGACATATGATGTTGATCTTAGACGGATCGGTAATTAATAAAAATTAAGATTAAATAATTTTATATCTACTAAAAAATTTTATTTAAATTATTATTAATAATTGCTTAAACTACTAAAGTACTAAAATTAGTTAAAATAGAAAAAGTAAATTTTGTAATATTAGCATTATAAACTTTATAAATATTAGGTCAATCTTAATAAAAATTGAAATTTAAGTAATTTTAGTCTTATAAATAACTTTACTTAAACTATTAAAGGTGATTTTTATAAACTAAAATGTTAAAATAAATCAAAATAAAAAAAGTTAATTTTAATATATAATTAATAATTAAGCAAGTATATATTTTTTTGTATTTTCATTTTTTTTTGATAACAATACATATGGGCTCTTTGCAATAGAAAGGGAGGAAACTACCAAAAAAAATTTTTTTGAGTTAATATTAAATCTGGACTTATTTTATTAAAAATTTTTTTTTGGTAGTTTCCTCCTTTTTTATTGCAATGAGCCATATGTTTTTATTTATTTATTTAATTGATCATAGTGTATATATATATAAAAAAGAAATAAATTTTCATAATTTTTAAAAAAAAGATAAAATGAGATAAAATTTTGAATATAAAAATATAATATATAATATATTAAAATCAAAGTAAAGGTAAGGAAAAATCAATAAAAAAATTAATAAAATCAAAGATTTATTATAAAAAAAAATAACGTAAAATAATTAAAGCAAATATAATAAAAAATTCAAAAAAAATCAAATAAATTTGTAGTAACACAAAAAAAACAAATAAAATAACTGGTAAACAGAATATTTACAAAAAATGTAATACAAAATATGTAAGCAAATAATAATTTTCATGCTTAAGATTTTCTTTATTATATACATTTAATATAAAATACAAAAAAATCAAATAAATTCAACAAAGTATTGATAAAGAATAACAAAATCAATAAAAATATATTTTATTTAAAATATGATGATTAAATTTAATACAACACAAAAATGTCACAGAAAAGCTTAACACAAATTTATTCTAATGATAATATAGCAGCTTATAGCGATGCCAGCAACTGTAGCTATAGCTATAGTAGATGAGGACCTTTCAATTCTGCCGAATTTAAAAATTAATTTCAAAGTTCATTGAAAAAATATCATAAATTGAAACTCTGATGTATTATTCTTTAGTAATGATAAATTTAATTCCTTAATCAAATCAACAGGTCTGAAAGAATGTCCTTGTTTGGGTTCTTCTTTAGCTCTTGATAAATATACGAAAAATCCTTGAAGCGTTTTTTTTATCGTTTCGATCGTCTATTAAAAGAAAAAAAAGTTATTCATGAACTTTTTATAAAGAATACACACGCACACCATTTTTCGATTATTTCCCTACCATAAGGAAACGCTTCAAAGCATGCCTTCACGTCAGAATAATTTGCGCTAAATTCCGAATACCATCATTATTCGTGTCACGTGAAAAACCGATGGCGAGCAAAAATTAATGTAAAAATAAACGATTTTATACTTTATTATTAATACATGTTATTCCACACGTAGTGAAGAATAACTAGGTTATTCACGGGTTATATATATAAGATACATGCGCGTAAGCGCATGTGATTATCATATCATATTAATTCTGAATAACCTAAGTAATCCGTATAATTATAATTACTAAATGCTATTAAGTTCATATCTAAAAGTTCCACAAGATGATGATTAGAAAGGAGGCGGTATTTTGCACATTAAAGGTTTTTTTGCCATCATGCAAATTTTCTATCATAATTGTGGAATACCCGTGTCGAGGTGATTTATCATTTTTGAGTTAATTACATTAACAAGCGTACTATAATGGTAAATTTTTTAAAATAAAACGCAATAGAGAAATTTTCCTATTAGAATTAGGTTTCATAAAAGTCGTCGTCATCATTTTAATTTTTCTTGTGGTTGCGTCGTAACCATGGATATTAGCTTTAATAGAACAAGCAAATGTTTATGTCTCAAACATTCATAAAAAAATTATTTGATGAAAATAAAATCACGTGGATTTCACATGACTTTAGTTTTTTTAGTTGGGAATTGAAAATTAAATAAATAAGAAAATTAAATCGTAAAGGTTCATGATGCAAGTAAGTATGAAAATAATATAAACGCAAAATTCTTGTATACTTGTGTATGATCAGATTATTTAAGAGCAACTTTTGAAAGTTTTATTTTTTTATATAACTTTTTAATCACATGATCTTATTACTAACCTAGCTTACAATTGTTAAACCAAGCAAATCCCTGTATTTAAAAAAAAACTATCTTAAACCTTTCGACACGTATATGCCATTCGTCGAAACTTTTGCCACCCTCGAAACTTTTCGCAATTTTGCCTTAATAAAAATATTTGGCAAAACTTTTCGATAGGTTTCGATTTCAATGCTTGTCGAAACCTCCGGGTTTGCCCGGTAACCTTATAATACATTATATTACCATGCAAAAAATTATTTTCCACTTTTTTTATTAGTTCATAATTACAAAGTTATTCACTCAAGAGTAAATGCGGGACATTTAATTTGGATAGTGTAATAAATTTTTTGATAAATTAATGCTATTTTACTATTCATAGAAAAGTTATTATTTTAAGTGGTTTATCAAAAATTGGTCGAACCTAACCCATTGAATCATTGCTTGATGCTAAACCAAATGAGGAAGGTCAATAATTGGTTCGTATATCCTGATTACAGTTGCTGAACAAATAAGTTATTTGTTAAGATAATCCTTTGAGCGGAAATAAGTGCATGCTTTGCTTATAACCTATCGGTTTTGTTGCTTCGGTATTTCGTTTGTTCATTTAGTTTATCGGCAATTTCAATCGGTCAAACCTTTCAGAAATCTCTCATGCGTTAGTGGCTTCGGCTTTTGTTTGATTCTACACGGCGTTTTTGATTGTACTTTTCTTTCTAGTTGTTTGATTGGACCCTTTCAATTTTAAGATATTACCTTGTCTTTGAAATTGCTTAATTGGGAAATGTTTTAAAAGTTTTATTTATCTTTTTATAATTATTTAATTTGTTTCCCTAATTCTTCCCGTTCACAAGATTTTCAACAATTAAATCTGTTTTATTGTTATAGAAAATCATTTATTTGAGCCAATTTGTCTTAGCCCCAAATTACTTTTCGATTAGATTTCCACTGATATTAAAAATTAAACTAAATTCTGCCTAAATATCTTTGATTCACGGAAATAGTAGTAATTTCACTTTCCGAGAGAACAAATCATTGTAATTGGTTGGCGGGGTGGTGGGATTGTTGACCGCCCCTTTTTTTATTTCTTCCATTACGATTTAAGGATCGCTAATATTACATAGTGCAAGTATCTCTTGAAAAATTTTCATATTTTCATAAAATTTTCTTTCATCTAGAAAGGTCATTTTATTTTTTTAGAATTAGATGAGGAAGCTAATGATAGACAGATTTATCAGTTTAGTTTATGTAAAAAATCGGTCAAATGATTTGATAAATTTTTTTTTTTTAACTCGGCTCGTTATTTGCTTTTACAATGTATGTCAATGTCTATCGAAACCAAGGAAAGGGTTTTGAAATAGCGCGAAGCAAAAAATGGAATTTATTCATACATGCATAAGTATTAACAATGTATTAAATGAACTTCATTTCATAAATGAGGAATGAACCCCCCCCCCCAATGATTTAGTTGATAACCATACCATTTCAGGAGATTCTGAATGATAAAAATGTTACTTTATTTACTTGCTTACAACATTTCTTATTCATAATTATTTTTAATTATTTATTACCATTTTCCGAACACAAGCCAGGTGACACGATTTACAAAACAGCCCTAAAATAAAAAAAATATTACTTCTTTTTTTTTTCGGTGCAACAACAACACACAATCAGCCATCGTCTTAACAAATAAACTTTTTTGGAAACAATCAAACCCACAAATGGTGAATAAATCATACTGTTTAACCTCAACGTCAATAGGGCCTTGTAATTAATTAAAAAGAAATAAAATTTTGGGGCCCACAAAAATTTTTTTATGTAGTTCATTGTAACATTTTAATGTAGATTATGTACGTTTGATCCTATAAGTGTTTTCCTTGCATTTAATCCCATCAATCATTTTTAAACAAATTTAATTTAATAAATAAACAAGGGATCTGTTTTATTATTTGTGTAATGAAACTAAACCGCATATATACAACATTTCTAGCTTTCAGTACTCTCTACATCCGACAGCTTGGTAAGTTTCGACTGTCAAAATTCAAAAAAAAAATCTTCAGGAGCTTCGAATTTTTTTTCTTTCATTACTATTACCATAAAAAGCTTTTTTTTTTGAGATATCAATGGCATGGTTAATTATTTTTACCAGGCATTACATCACATTCATGACTTTCATGAAAATTTTCGAAATACGGCGAATGATCAATCTTCTAAATGCTAAACCGAATGAATCAACTTTCTAGTACGCCAAACGTTTGAGATGAAGGAAAAAAAAAGAAAGAAAATATGACTCGTCCGTACCCAACCATTGTCTCGTCCTTACAAACATTTCATTACTTACCTGCGTTGGGCCATAAGTGACGATATCTGTGTCATACTAAATGTCCTTCACTACTAAATTTAGAATCCCCAATAAAGTTTGCGTACAAAATAAGATATATAAATAGAAACTTGGAAATTTTTTTTTTTATTATTTTTTGTTAATTTTAACGAAAGAAATTTGTTTTTTAACTATAAAAAAAGTTAATTTTTTTTTTTTAAAAAAAAAAATAAAATAAAATTAAAAAAAAAATTAAATAATTAAAACAAAAAAAAAATAAAGATTTTTTTCATGACTACCCTATCAAACGAAAACTTTTCTTTTATGCAAGTAGAAGCTGGCCAATTTGAAAATAAGACCAGGAGTTTCAGAGAAGCCTTGAAAGAGTACCTTTTGTCCGGACAACAGAAGGGAGGGAATAGTCTCGCATTACAACACGATTACGATTATACAAACAAGAAAGAAAAATATCAAATTACGATTAGTCGTGATGGAAAGTTCGTTGCAACGCTCGACACAGGTAATCACCAGAGATGATCATTTCTTGCGATCTCCAAAGCATTGTACGTACCTAATTCAATTGTAACCCTCCAAAATTTTAGAAAACCTTCGGATTAAGGTTTTAAAAAATACTGATTACCGCGGAAGTCATCAAAAGACAGTTCTCTCCAATCAGAATGAAAGTGAAATAATTGATGAGCGAATTGCACTTTTTAAAATAAATCACAATTTAACTATTAATAAAATTTATAAAAAGGGCGAAATGCCTCCACGTTATAAAAAGGTCAAATCTTATGATGATATCACAGAATACATGGAAGAGGATGTTAATGACATTTCAAGCACCGACGAATTATCTGAAACAATTAATAACAACTCAAATAATCGTTTCAGATGGTCGCTCGATATATCAAACATGGATGGAAAATTTCTTTTTGTAGCGATATCTTACATAGACGTTGAGGAAGATATGAAATGTTTAGAAAAAAAGAGCAAGCGTCAGATGTTTGATTATAAGAAAATTAAAGTGCAGGAGGCAACTTACCATGAGAAAAACAATAGCTACACGATTAATGTCCCTCATGATACTCCGGAATTCCACACGGGTATTGCGATATATCGTCTTAGATTAAAGAAATCAAAGAATGGCGACCCAAATGATCCCGAGGAGGAAAGCTATGTTGTTGATAAAGGTTATTTTTGGAATAATTTGTCGGGAATTTGTAGATTTATAGAAAATTTTGATCCGAATTCGATTTCTAATGATATTGATACCCCGGATTATATTTTGACAAGATTTATAGCATTGAACTTTGACGGCATATTTAACTTTGAATATCACAAGTATCGTAAGAATTTTTTTTTGAATGAAAGGTTTCATTATCCGAAAATCATCAAGAATGAATTAAAGAATTGGCATACAAAACAAAATTTACCCGACTGCATGGACCGTCTTCTTTCGTGTATTTATGATAAGT